AAGGCCAAAAATACCTGAACCCTGAAGTAGATAAATCAGTAAAATTTCTAAAAGGGTAACAATACCCCACTGAAAAGTGTACAAATGTTAGAAATAAAATGATATAATAATAGTAAATAATAAACACTGAAGGCCATTTTTTTAGCATTTGCATACTTTTCAGTGGGGTATTTTTACCCTTTCAGATATTTAATTTTATTGGATTTTCTGCTCCAGGGTTTAGTTATCCTTTTATTTCTTCACATTGTTGACTTTTTGGAATTGGAAGTGGGATTATTTTATCCCGGTTATTTTTTGGCAGAACCCTTCAGTTTGGTTTGTTGCTCATCTGTCTTGGGTTTTTTGGCTGTAGGGACTTTTGTTGGATTGCTTAATTGCATACATCTCTCTTGGAAGAGGATAGTCAGATGTGAGCTCAGCTCTTCCAAGTCATGGAAAAGCTGAGGAGTCTATCTGAATTTGGCAATTTGTTCCAACATTTCTTCCAGATGGATGTCTCCAGTAAGGAAGGCAACTGAATATTGAAACTAATTTCTGCTCTGATGGTCCACAGTGATTTGGAAGTCAACGGTGGTGTTGAATGGGAGGATAACTGTTGCAGATCTAAGGGTTTTAAGCAGTGATCCATTTAAGGGAGCATATGTACTGTGGGAGAAGAGTTTGAGCTCAACCAAGTGACAGTCCACAGCTAAAGAACAGTACAAGTAGGTCTTGAAACTAATCTGCCAGAAAAACCTAATAAACCAGCTTACCTGTCTTGATTTTTAGTTTCAACAGAACCTTTATCATGTCTTGTGTAGTCTGTGAAAACCAGGTTGACTCAATAGCTGTTCAGGAAGATGGTATGGTCCTCATCTGCTTTGCATAGAGTAAGACCTTGAAATTTTAACAAACATTTTTTGTATTAATGTTGAATTAAGGCTGAAGTATATGTGATAGTTAGGTCATAGAATTATTATTATTTCTTATCCACCTGTCCCCATGGATTGAACAACAACAAACCAGTAAGGACAGAACATTAGTTAAAAATACAACAGCAGTTAAAAATACATATAATGATAATAATATAATAGAATTGGGAGAGATGACAAGGACCATCCAGTCCAAGCCCCTGCCATGCAGGAAGACACGATCAAACCACCCCTGACAGATGGCCATCCAGCCTCTGTTTAAAAACCTCCAAAGAAGAAGACTCCACCACTCTCTGAGGTAGCATGTTCCATGTTGAACAGCTCTTACCATCAGGAAGGCCTTTCTAATATTTAGGTGGAATCTCTTTTCCTGTAGTTTGAATCAATCACTCCATGTGCTAATCTCTGAAGCAGCAGAAAACAAGCTTACTCCATCCTCAATATGACATCCCTTCAAATATTTAAACATGGCTATCATGTCGCCTCTTAATCTTCCCTTCTCCAGGCTAAACATACTCAGCTCCCTAAATTGTTTCTCATACAGCATGGCTTCCAGACCTTTCACCATTTTGATCGCCCTCTTCTGGACATGTCCCAGCTTGTCATTATCCTTCTTGGAGTATGGTGCCCAGAACTGGACACTACTCCAGATGAGGCCTGACCAAAGCAGTATGGAGCAGTACTATTACTTCCCTCTACACTCCTACACTCCACCCCTGTTGATGCAACCTGGAATCACACTGGCTTTTTTATTTTTCACATCCTACTGTTGACTCATATTCAGCTTGTCACCTACTAAGATTCCTAGGCCAAGTGTCTCCCATTCTATTTCATTTTTTTCTCCCTAAGTGTAGTACCTCTTAGGTTTGTCGCTGTTGAAATTCATTTTGTTATTTCTGGCCCAGCTCTCTAAGAATGTCACTGTGAATTCTGTCCTCTGGAATATTAGCTGCCCCTCCTAATTTAGTGTCATCTGCAAATTTGATAAGCATGCCCTCATCCAAGTCATTTATGAAGATGTTGAATAGTACTTTGTGTCAATGTATCCCGTTCTTCCCTATAAGAGAAACTTATGGCGTGGTCATTCTTACATTCCCTTGCTAGGGGAGCTAATGAAGTGGAATGATAATAAGTGCATATACAGAACAGTGCATATACAGAAATATAAAGTTCCACCATGGCAGAGCTGTGATATGTTTGCTTTCTTCTATCTAATAGGACTCACCTTCCTTTGGTGCCCCCCCTCCTTATCCACTTACTGGCTGATAGAGAGCAGGGGATGACTGAAAGACATCTGGCTATAATCATAAAGTCAAGATTTTTAGCCAACCCCTGCTCTCCATCAGCACTACATGACAATGTTGGTGGCAGAGGTAGCATGAAACACAGTGGGTGTTTGTGCGGGGTTGGTTGGTGTGAACAGAATTTCATCCTCCACAATGACCAACCCCCCAAAAAGACATATGTAGGCATAAACTTAACTTACACCTGTGTATGTCACTAATGGGATGCCAGCCATTACAGCCTAGATCCTGTTGGATAGTACCAATTAAAGTACAACCATTCAATCAGTTGTTAACTAGCAAGCCAACCCCTAATGTAGATCCTATTTGTTCAATGCATATACTCTAGCTGGGACCACCATTGGAATATATGCCTATGACATTACTTTAGAAATATGCACCCCTGTCATGCCCTGCTTCCAGAACATGGAAATAGACTGACTCAGAGACTGAAGCAGGGGCCTGCTAGGACCTGCTGCTGAATTAGAGCAGGAGGACGTTCCAGAGCCACAAGTCACAGATACTGACCAGAGTGCAGTACCAGCTCTAGCAGAGAGTCCTGCTTATTCAGATATAGAAGACAACTTACCCTTATCTACCTTCACCCAGCACAGATGACAAAGGGAGGGCTTGAGGATGTCTCAGAGGATTTATAGGAAGCAGCAATTCATTAGGCAGCAGCTGCATTAAGCTGCTGATCTATAAATTTGCAGCCCTGCGTTCTAGGAGCTTTGAAGATTATCTGACCTACTTGGCTCCCCATTGTATTCCTGATGTCAAGACCATGTGGCACCCAGGCCTGGAAACTGACATGGATGTGGCCACTGAAAGGAACTGGAGCAATGGTAACAGTGTTACTACAGTTCAAGTGGAAGGAGCATGAGTCAGCATTTGGAAAGCTGTGCATCATGGGAGACCTGATACAACGTACACAGTGGATTAGACTGATCAGGTATGCATCATGTGAGACCTGATGCAACAGTCCTGATGCAACAGGCACTGGGGATGAAACCAGGAAGGTTTCATTAGTGCATGGCTGTCACATGTTCTCACAAAGACCATCTATATATGGGAGAGAGTCAGAATCTCTGTTGTTGGTTAGTTGTGGTTGGTGCAGCACTTTGTTACTCTGTATAGCTGTGAGTATTCAAGACGGACGTCTGGTACTCTGTGTATCTTTGTAAATATTTGCAGCAAAGATTAAAGCCCTCTCTGAGAGAAGCCTCACTGTGAAGCTATTCTTTTCTCCAAGCTGAAAGCAGCAGCTGCATGTGGGAGGTTTTTTCTTGTGCTGTCTGGAGCAGACTCTTCACAGAAGATCAGCTTCTGGGCATTCCTGCCTAAGTGCATCTACTCTGCATGTGTGTATGCTAGATCCTGCTGTCTGCATACCCCAACACCTGAACTTTGTGTTTAACCTGGACTTTGTTTGTGGATTCTGGATACCGTTTACCTGACTGGGATATTGAGGAACTCTTTTGCTGGACCTGAAGCTTTGTTTGGGACTGAAGACTTTTGTTTGCCATGTCAACTAAAGTGGGTTGCAGACTGTCAGAAATAGTGCAAATTGAGTCCATTTTTAGGGTTAGGGTTAGTGCTAGGGAATCATGGGAATTGTTTTTTTTCTGAGACATTGAGCCTTCTCTGTCAGAGAGCTCTGGTGCCACAATAAAATACAGTGCCCATGATTCCCTAGTCCTAACCCTAACCCTAAAAGTGGACTCAATTTGCACTATTTCTGGCAGTCTGCAACCCCCCCTAAGTGCTGAACTGTAAGCTTCTCTATTACTTTGCTTGCTCATTAGTGGTGACATGTATTTATCTTCTGTGTAGCAATTAGCCTGGGGCTGGTAGCCTAGACTTTGTTTTGGACAGACCCTACATGGCACAGGGAAGACTGCAACAAGGAGGACATTTTTGGTAATAGGCCCATGTCAAGTATCCCATGGACTTCCAAAGTATGATTCAGAGCCCCTACAATATCCCCTTCTTGCAGAGACAAGAACTGGGGATTACATGGAAAACCAGAACCAAAGGTCACATGGGGAAAAGGCATGCAGTCAGCCATATCCCAGTGCTTGCAAGTCCTGCATACCACCGACAGCAATCTGGGCTGTCCCCACAGATAAGTTCTTGCCAGTCTATCATAGGTTTGTGTGGAAAGGAGCTCCTGATTTAACTGGACATCTTTCTGTCAGGAAGGATTTTGACTAAGCAGAGATTTTCTCCATTCTAAAAGGTGGGAGGAGGCTACTTTCAGTGTTTCTTCCTTTTCTCTGCAGTCCTTTCATATGCTCCCTGTAGATTTGCTCTAAAGGTTTTCTGGGGATTCTTGATCAGTAGAGAAGTGGCACTGGGGCCTGAATCACAACCACCTCCCAATGAATTTCCATCATGAAATTTCTTGTGTTAGACCAGTAGTAGTCAACTTTGGGTTCTCAGAGTTTATTGGTCTTCTGGCACTATTTACCCCAGGCAATGATCTGGGATTCCAGGTCTAAAGGTCTGCAGCTATTCTATTAGACAACAATCCTTACCTATTCATTGTAAGCCAGGGTATAAATATATTAAACAAGCAAACCAATAAAAAAGGCTATTGAGACAAAATTATTTTGCATGCTCAGAGGTATGTTTGCAACATGTTTTCAGCTGTCAAAAACTCATATTTCCCTGTTCAGTTTACTTCTCAAACTTTTATAAAACACACATCCTTCTCTCGGCATGTTTGGAAAGAATTGCCCCCGCTCTTCCAAAACTGTACTTCTGGTAGCCCAGCTGTTCCCATCATGGCTAGTTACATTAATGAGCCAGCATGGTGTAGTGGTTTGAGTTTTGGACTACGACTCTGGAGATCAGGGTTAGATTCCCTGCTCTAGCATCCAAACCCACTGGGTGACCTTGGGCAAGTCACACTCTCTCAGCCTTAGAGGATGGCAATGGCAACCCCCTCCCCCCAAAGAAACTTGCCAAGATAACCATATGATAGGTTCACCTTGGGGTTGCCATAAGTCAAAAATAACTTGGAGGCACACAACAATAACAGTCAGGAAGCTTTCAAAAATAGCCACAGATTTTGAAAACATTACTTTTCTTGAATACAATTCCTAAAATTTCTCAGACATCCTGGTTGGAGGATTCTGGGAGTTAAAGTCCACATGGTACCTTTACTGAGTCATGAGTTTTTGCAATAAGGCTGTCTGCTCAATATCCATCCTTTGCTTCTTCCAAGCATTTGCCAAGTACAAGCATGCTGCAGGTTATTCCATTTCCAGCACAATGAATTGACCTTGATGTCTTGTCTTGTAAAGTATTTTTTAAAAAGAAAAGAAATCCATCATCTGCAAATCCAGTTTAAATCACAAAACCTAATTAATGAGAGAGACAACAGGCAAATGTGCTTGGATGGAGGGGAGAGTTCTCTAGGAAGGTAGATGGTTCTTCCCTGAATGATTTGCAAGGCAATAGTCATGCTTCAAAAATTTAATTCTTTCTAATTTCATTTAGAACCATGGGGGAGACGGGTGAATAGCAGAGAGGAATGAGAAAAGCAATATAGGATTTTGTTTTGATTTTGACAGCTACATCCATCTCCGAATTTGCTAGTAATGGCAGAAACTAGTACACCCAACCCAACTCTCAAAATATTTAATGGTACAAAGCAGTGGACAACAAAAGTAATATAAGTGAAGAAGCTGACTTAGCAGTTCTGTCCCATATTTTGTCTGCCTCAAAGTGAAACACTAGGAGCTTCCCCACTGGTTAACCATGTTGATTGTATTAAAAACGTAATGCTTCTTTGGTGCTCTAGGCTTGATTACACTCCAGTTCTTACTTGTAACAAGTAGACCTGAAGTGGCTGAAATTGTCATTGCTCCTCCAAAAGCCAAGGGAGGCCTCTTGAAGCTGGGGAAGAGGTGAACGATTGTGCCTTCAAGTAATCAAAAACTAAAGTTATTTGCTACACCCTTTTAACGTTATGCAGGCAAAGGAAAAAGAGAAAAGCCAGCACAACATTTGAAAAGCTCTGTGTTGCTCAGGTAGGGAGGGGGAACATGCTGTCCTCTGGATGTTGCTTGACCACAATTCCCATCAGTCCTACTCCACATCAGTTGGTAAGGAATAGTGAGAACTGCACTCCAACACTGGAGAGCTACATGTTCCTCATCCCTGCAGCTGGGGATCATTTCAGAGCTGTCATGACATGAACTTGGATAAACTTCTAATATGTTTAAAAAATATTTAATAAGACTAAATATTCATTCAATACAAGTATGTCTTCCAGTATTTAAAAAATAAAGAGCCTAGAGCAGGGGTAGGCAAACTGTCCCCTTTAAGGGCCAAGGAACTTCAGCTCCCAGAAGTCTCAGCCATGTTGGCCAATAGTCCCATGTTGGCCAATAGCTCCTGGGATTCTGGGAGCTGAAGTCCCTTGGCCCTTAAAGGGGAAAGGTTGCCTATCCCTGGCCTAGAGGCAAAGTAGACAGCCTGGGGCCCTGTTTGGATTAAAATTCTCAAGCTCCAACCAACTTGGCCAATGGTCAGGTTTGAAGGAAGTGTAGTCATCACACACATGCACACACACAACCCAAAGTTCTTGAATATATCAGGTTGCCAGCCACCTTGTGTTGTTGGTTAAAAAAAGGAAAATGTTGTGATGCCAGATTACACCATTATGGCCGATCCAAATCTATACAAAGGCTTGAAGAATGAGGAAGTTTCCCCCATCTCTGGTCCCCAGATCTATAGGGTTCTGGGAGAGTTGATGGGCAATGACAACTCTTGACTTTCTAAGATGACCTTGGGGAGGGTTTAGGGAGTTACCATAACCTCAGATATACACAACAAACCATTCTCAGACTATCAACATGGGGGACCACAATTCTTGCCTCCCCCATTCCCTAGAAACTCTCCACAGATTGGCAGCTGATGGTCCATAGACCAGCACCAGCCCAGGAAACACTCTTTTTGGTAGCACTAATATAGAAGATTCCGGGCTGAAGCCTTGTGAAAAATCCTCTGCTGGAGACCATGGAGAGCTGTTACTTCCAAAACATGGATGGCGAAAGAAATGCTTTCCCAGTGTTGTTGAACTGTAACTCTCACTTTGCAGGAGGAACATTATGGGAGCAGCAGTCTTACAAGAACTAGACAGCTTCACATTTCCAATCTCTGGAGGAGAAAATACTGATCTAGATGGACAAATAGTCATAACAGATGTAAGGCAACTTCCCAGGTGCCAATATCACTTGTATTTTGATTTCAGCATTGCATCCAAGGAAAACTAGCATTTTAATTAATTTATTTTTTTAGAAAGTGCAGAGTCATAACTAACTGGGACTATTTGGGTCCACAAACAGGATGACTTTCAGGGAAATACAGCTTAACTAAGCAGATTTTAGTTATTAAGCAAACTCAATTTTGTTTCAATGAGCATTACAAGGTATTACCATCTTACTAATGAAATCAATAAACCAAGAAGATTTGGATAGAAGGAATGAATACACAAGCACTTCCAGGATTCATAATGGCAATACTCCAATCCCAGAAAAGACTTCATTGTATCAGTGAAAGTTGGGGAAATTTGCATGACATCCAAGAAGATGCAGCTTTCATTCTGAGTCTCATTAAGGGAAGGCAGAGACATTATCTCAAAGCCTTTTGAGTATCATTACAAAATACAGTTGGCACAGCAAGGAAATTGCTTCCTCTTCAAGTTTGGCAATAAAAGCTTTAAAAAGATATCAGAAGTGCCTTGGATTAAGTGATTCCCCCCCCCCCCCCCCCCCCCCCCCCCCCGCCTGATCCTAAAGCTCACTGTGCCAACACAGAAGGGCTGAAAATTGCCCATTTCAAAAACCCAGCAGCAACAATAAGGGCACCACAATTTTTCTGGCCAGAATCTTTTCCCCTTTAATGGGAAGGCAAGCTGAGACACAGTAGTAGTTGTGGCTGTATTGCCATTGCAGGGAAAGTGCCCCCTGAAGCTGCGAAAGTTTCCTGCAAGACAGCTACCTTGCCAAGTAACTGCCTTTGCAGTTAGACTGTGCTTGTGCAGAAGTTTAGGATGTAATAGTTTAGGGCATAATGCCATGTTGTTCATGGTTTATGTCTTAATGTAGCATTATTTTTAAAAGGTTCTTAAAACTATGTAATTCACTATATAGCAGCATTACATAAACATGGAATAAAAACAAAACTCCATACAATCATTCTAGGACTGTTACTAATCTGTGGCCTAAATCCATTTGCTAGCCCCAATTTGAGTTACTAGATCAATTACAGAATTGAAAGGTATAGGGTTCCCAGAAGTCATGCCCAGGACCATCTTCTCTAGTCCTCAAGGAAAAGGGAAATATTCTTACAGTGAGAGCATTACCTTGAAAATCTCTCTCTCTCTCTCTACCTTGCACGGCATTGACTTGGGAAGCCCCTTTTGAGAGATGTATGTACTACTTGGTGTGAGTGGGCTGTGCACTCCCAGGGAGGGAAATTCAAACTAGCCCACTAATAACCTTGGAGAACCTTGTCATGAGTCTCCAGTGTTTTTACATGTATTTGTTTTAGCCTAAGACTTAGTCACGTCTGAGCAGCTGCTTTGTGGAGAAGCATTTCTACAAAGAGTGGGTCCATATCAGTACCAAATACATTATCAAACATCTAGGATGAAAATCCTGTGGTCTGCAAGTCCATGGCCTTTTTATGGGCCTTCCCATCCTTCCAGTGCCCCACGTGCCTCTCACTTCCATCAGAAAAAAATGGCAATTCCTGCCCCTAGAATCCTGCAAGAGCTGATATTTTGCCTTTAAAAAAGGGAGAAGGGCATCCCTGCATCATGTTTTGCCTCCATGGACCTCCCCTTGGGTTTTCCAAAATGAAGACTGGACTTCTGGTTGTTTGATTTTATTGAAAGGTCAGGAGTACCAGTCTGACACATAGTGGGCTCTGAAAGCTGGAAATTGCACCCCTGCTCCAATCTCCAGGGCTTGCCTTTTCAAGCCAAAGGAATATTTTTCAAACCTGGATGCTAAATTTGGGGGAAGGTTTTCAATTGGCTTCATCTTCCTTCCCACTAGTTGAGAGCAGCTGGACAGATCTTGCCCCAGGTTCCTTACATGAATTAACTTGAGATGCTTGGAGGAATGTGTAATTTTGGAATAGAAGTGATACAAAAGGAAGAGCTGTTTTGTGATCATCATTGCCATGTGGGGATGGGTGTCAGAATCCATATGCATGGTTCTGTCATGTTGAAATGATGATATGATGATATTAAGGAATGAAGATATGAAGGCACAGTGATATGGCGATATAACATTGTATAGTATGTGAGCTATAGTGAAGGGGGTATCAGTCATGTCAAATGCAAGCCTGGGAAACAAACAGGAGGGGTAGATAGCCAGCAGCGGAAAGAGGTTGTAGTTTATGACCCCAATCTCCCTGCCATGGATCTGAGCTGTGAAACAGGGATGAACTTAGAATCACAGAGTTGGAAGAGACCACAAGGGCCATCCAGTCCAGCCCCCTGCCATGCAGGATATCACAATCAAAGCATCCCCGACAGATGGCCATCCAGCCTATTTAAAGACCTCCAAGGAAGCAGACTCCACCACTCTCCAAGGGAGTGTGTCCCACTTTCGAACAGATCTCACTGTCAGGAGGTGCCTCCTAATGTTGAAGTGGAATCTCTTTTCCTGTAGCTTGCATCCGTTGTTCTGGGTCCTATTCTCTGGAACAGCAGAAAATAAGCTAACTTATCTTCTTCCTGAAGGGAGATAAAAAGATAATACAGGAGGGGAAGGAGGGAAACATGAAGGGCCCTTTGATCTGGATCAAAGAGAAGTGATCGAGGATGGGAATGTATTTGTGTTGGTCCGAGGGTAC